TCCCCACAAACTCACTTGAGTCTGCCCAGTGCGCGCTGATAACGGTCCTCTGAAACAGCTGATGCATTTCACGACAGGCTGTGTTCCTGGAAACAATAACAACAATAGCAAATGACATTGTTAATTACCCCCCACCAACAACATACTGACTCCTTCAAAGGCGATGTTCTAATAATAATAATGAATTGCACTGCGCGTGAGAGCAGAAGACGAAGCGAGAGGCTTCACTGCCGGTTACTTCCGTGTCGTCTTAAATCCCGTTGGGCACACTTTGTCTGGTCTGATGCTACCTCTTGCCTTCCCAAAATGTTTATCACGGAAACTACCCAATATATATCATTTGACATGCTTATTTCGTATTTTAGAGGCTTCTGCTACTTCTGTAACACTATTTGAAACTGGTGGAGAGGCAACATTTTGTTTCGCGCATGCGTAGTAGCTTACTTATGTATTAATCTGTTTATTCAAACCGGTAATTGTAAGTATTAACTGTTGCATACTTTAGTGTAAGACATCCTATTATCTATGTCTGCACACTAGCGTGCACATGGTGCGAGTTCATCTCTAGCTCAGTTAAAGGGACACGTCTGCAGAGACTGAAGAATCAAAGAGCTCTCTCTTTCCTCTTTCCGCCCTATTCAATTAGCCCAGTGTTCCGGAAGTGAAACTATTGATAAGCGAGTGACTGGCAGTTGGAGTACTTCCAAGGTTTGGGTGGGTGGAACCATCCGTTAAAACAATGAGCATCTGTCAGGTTGATTGATTTGAAATTTAAAATGTCCTTATTGTCCCCTTTCATCTCTGCTCACCACCCACTCTTGAGGGAAATATTCATTTCTAATTTGTTCTTGGCCAATTAGCACTCCTGTTGCTGCTCATTTGATTTTTCTGGGAAGCTCAGTCGTAGACATTTTAAATCAAAGTGATCACAAAATACAAATTGTAAAGTAAAGCAGAATAGAAATGAATGGTGCAGATGGAACATAACAGGCAGACACATAAGTCTGTAAATACTTTTTAAAAAGTTGAAAGGCATTTAAGTTAATTGTTCTAATTCCATTTTAAATACTTTAGTTAATAATTCCTAATAATACAAACAATTAATATTACTTCCTTAATCATATTAATTGGCAAATGCAATTGTATCATTATTTTTTTATTTATTTGGGTTTTAATGCTTCAATTCATTGAATTTGTTTTCTTCATTAATTGATCAGACTACATTTATTAATTTTGATTGATTACAATTAAATCCGGTGGCACACTAGACTCTGATACTGTTTCATTAATACCGATCATGGTGCCCCACTCTATTCAACTGTATGCTAATTTCAGGATGGTCAGCCTGCACATACTGTATACTGCAATTCGTAGCAACACCTAATATGCTGTTGATGTATCAATACGGGTCAAACGACACCGTCAAGTAATAGGCTACATCCTGCTCTCTATATGACACTGCAGCGTGATTGTAGTGACTTATAAAACATACCCCCACAAGTGACTGCTTGCAGCTGCATTACTTTGATTAGCCCGAGTGGCGTTATTCCGTTGAATTCTGGGACTTGTAGTCAGGACACCTAAGGGATCAGACGCCAGCACACTGCAGCCCACGATGCGCATATCAACTTCACCCCACAACAACAACATCCCCTTAAAGCTGATCAGCCACATTTTGTTAAGGCATTATTGTATCAGATTTAAACCATTTACACTGCATCAGACAATCTATTAAGAAACACACCATCCGTTTGGTTGCTTTGGATGCTGACTCTTCAGAGGATGTTCTGACATTTATAGGCTATATGATGCACAGACCATACAACATATCTCTAATGTTTTGATAACATCGTTCAGCGTGGTGTAATATTTTTTTTGTTGACAAAACCAGAAGCATTACGTAGAAAGGTGACATCACCTCAAAGTCAAGGACTCCCAGCACCTTATAATAAATAAACTGCTCTCAATGACATCCTGGGTTTCCCAAACCTACGCACTCCATCAAAAAAAACACACCAGCACACCAGTAGGCTGCTATGTTCAAAACATAATACAATAAGACCTAATGCAAAAAAAGGCTACGTCAAACTTACCAGAGTAGGCTAATGCGATTTCATCCTCCAAAGGCTATATTAGTGATTTTCCCTCAAGTCTCATTTATGTCCAATGAAGAAAAGTATTCATTAATATTTTTAACTCTTAAAATATAGTTATTGCTAAAAACCCATTCCCACTGCTCTATCACCCCAGTAGCTTACATCTTAGTGCCGCATTGGAGAGAGAGAGAGAGAGAGAGAGAGAGAGAGAGAGAGAGAGAGAGAGATACTTACATTAGGAAACCAGCAGGCTGGCAGCAGAGTCAGCGCAGCATCTCTGTCCACATGTCCTCAGCACCGCAGAGAAGTTCCTTAAAATGACAGCATCAATGGCACGGCACCCGACCTGAACAGCACAGAGGTGGCATTTTGAATGGATTACGTCGTAGCATGCAATAGTCAACAGTCGTGAACACCTCTGAACAGTTTCATGCTGCAGGTTTTAACGCACACGTCTCTTAAAGCGACAGCATGCGTTATAAAGCTCCGATGGGACACGCCGCACCAGCAAATATGGGATGGGCCAATATAATATTATATAGATTATATTTGTGAAGTGCACAAATATGTTACAATATGCTACTTTAGAATGTAATATAATAAAATCACATGGGCTACTGTGGCTCACTTTTTACTCATTCACTTCTGCCTGTATAATAGATATCATCATATTGAGATTTTGAAAGCTTAATTGTCATTTTGCGTCATCGCTGACAGCTGTTGAGACGCACGACGGAAACTTTCACATCTAAAAAATGTGGCGCATTGCATTGTGGGATTGCTTGCAGATAGTGGTGAAAGGCGTTCATGCACATTATCTCTCCTTTTTTGTCATATATATAGTCAAATATAGTGGACACAGAATGGAATCATATAGGTGCAGTTATAATGTAAAACATCTGTACAAAGTTCTGTATATACATACAAAGGTGTGGTTGGAATGTAAAACATCTGTGCAGTGTGCAGTAGATACAAAGTTTGAACTGCAGTATAGCTAACTAAGTATTGTAGGAATTTGTAATGATCATAAGCTTGCTAATTAAAAAAATGCTCAATAGACACTTTATAGCATGTCAGTAAACACAAATAACTTTTATTTATTTATTTAATTTTGCCTTTATTGAATCAGATAGGTCAATTAAGAACCAGTTCTCATTCTCAATTAATCTCATACAAAAATTACAACATCATAATGTGTACAATATACAAAACAAAACAAAAAAAACATTGTCACTACTTCCAGCAGCAGTACAGCTGAACTAATATACCATGACACCAACGTCCCAGTAGATGGAGACAACAGCAAAGCTTGAGTCTCCTGCTGTATGAGGGACAGGCTTTGCCTGCAGTACAATGCTCTCACAGCTAGTTGACTCCTATCACAGTGACATGCAGATCACTAGTCTACAGATGTAACCTCAACACGGTGGAAATTAATACATACAGTATACACATTAAAAGAAGAAATTAGAATATTATTATGTGACTGCTACAGTGTGAAATTGTTCTATGATTTCATAAAAAAAGAACAAAATAATTACGACACAGACTTTTAATTCAGAATTAATTAAATAATTAATAACATATTTCTGTCATGTTGCCTAAGACACATTAAGCATTTGGTGACTTGATATTCCACAATAGGCAAGAATGTAACAACTAATTACATTTGCAAAGTAGACACTGATTTCCTGGAATTGATATATACAACATGCCCAGACATGTACAGTAATTGGCCACTTTTGCAGCAGTGCTGAACTTTTGTCCTCTGTGTCTTTGCCTTGATGCAGACACACACCAGGTTTGCACACTGCACACTCTTCTTTTTTTTTTTGCCAGAGGTGGATATGATCATGTACATTTTTTGTCAACATGGCTTTTGTCAAATACGTTGAAGTTGCAACTCTCGTTGCCACAATCTCCACAAATGAAGTCATATCAACAAATGTTTTAGGAAAATTGAGACAATGTTAGAATTATCAGAAACTTAAATGTTTGTAGAAAGATTTAAGTTAGTTCAATATAATAATAATAATTGTGGCATTTTCTTGTACATTTAGATTTAAAGTATTTTTTGTAAATAAGTCTAAAACAAATCTAATTTGTATTATACAATGTAATAACATGTCGCGGTAAGTGGCCCAGCATTAGAAAATAAGTGCCTTTACATGCATGGAATGATTTGTATCCATGAATGAAGTGAAGTATCTAATTCCCAGCGTGCTTCCAACATGCAGACAAAATCAGTAACGTGACATTGAACCCTGCTCTTCACCAGCAGATGGGTTAACAAGTCAGCCGAGGCTCAGCCAATCCTGGAGCTCCCCACTGATGTCATGACATCTGCAGCTCATAGAGATGAAAGCTTCCCAATTAATTTAATGTCGACAACCTCCAAATAGACAGGCAGATTATACTTCAAACCAGCATCACATGACAAGAGGAGTCACGTTTCAAAAATAAAAGTTTGCATCTCTAAATGCTCTAAAACAGTTGTTCTGTGTAGCTATTGGTTCAGTCACTTAAAGTAGTAAATGTGAAGTTAAACTTGTAAGTGGGGACCGGCAGGGACACTGAAGGACCATCAGATGTCCCCAGACCACAGTTTTCTGAGCCTCTTCGCTGGTGCTCAACATTCAGAAGACTGACTGCACTAAAACAGCCATTAAATAAACCACATACACACACACACACACACACTGGGGAGGGAGAAAGTCGTCATCTTCCTCTTCGACATTTGTTAGACCAACCTACTTCATCATTTCCATCGACTCATTATAAACCAGCTTAAAGAAAAACGCTGTTATTGATCACACTTCGCTGAGTTGTGTGTTTGGCCCTCCGTGGGATCTTGTCTTTGATGTAGTGCAGGCTGATCGCAGATCAGATACACGCGCTTCAGGTCAATAAAGCCACCCCCCCTCCTCCTCCTCCTCCTCTCCCCGCCTTTGATCTGGCCGCTGAAGTCCTCGAGCTGCCGCCGCCGCTGCTCTGTGTTGTGCTGAGGCTCGAGCTGCAGCGCTGACATGGTGAGCGGACCGGTGCGGGAAACACACCACCACACCTCTCACCGGTAAGCTTTTTGACTTTTCAGAACCAGTACTTTGAACAACAGGGTCTCTTTATTTTTAACAGGTAAGAAGCGCTTTTTAAAAGTTTTTAGACATCCACACGTAACGCGCAACGACATGGACCAAGCCTTTGGTGCATTTCAGAATAACGTTACAAGGCATACACCTCTAGTCTCTAACTTTATATTGCATGGATAGTATTATTATAGCGACACCAGAGAACACCGACGATGATGTCGCTTTAAAGTCACGAGTTGGTAAACTACAGTTTGCCGACTCTCAGTCGCTTTACACGTTAGCCTATTGCACGGATATTTTAATGATTTTTGGGGACATGGTGGCAATATTATAGGTTTTTGAGACTTTAAGACATTTATATGTAATGGTGCCATGAGAGAGTCTTCCTCATTTAAAGCTGTGGAAGCTGTCTGAGCTTTAAAGTGCCGAAACGTCTCAGCTCCGGATGTGACTTTAATTCAAACAGCATCAATTTGCTGCAACCCTGCTACAATTTGCACGTGCGTGTGGTGATTTTCTAAAGTAGTACTATACAACATATAATGCTTTGTTTTACAAATATTTGGTTTTAAATGTGTTTAACCTCCCCCAAGTCCAATTTTCCTTTTACTGTAGCCTTAATATTGAAAATGTCATCTTATTAGTATCATATGTATAGATGGTTATAAGTCTTCATCCGAGCTACGTTGATGTTTACAGTGAGTGGAATAGCATAACCCACGACTCAGTGTTTTGATGACATCCAAATGGAAATATATAAGATGTGTTGCGCATCATTTTATTGACATTTTCCTAAACTTCAGACTGACATGTTTGATGTCTTTGGAAACTTTTGTATTGAGGATAGTATTGACTGAGTCATCAGTCAGTGAGGTTTAAGAGGTTAAACAAACAGGAACATGCCTGTATTGGTGGTAATAATCAAAACAAACAAATCGTTTTATCTTAAAAAAGTTGACCCAACCAAATATAGTTATTAAGCGTGTATTATAGAGAGGAGACGATATAATAATATACTTAATCTCAGTCTTCTGATGTGTCCTTTTTTTCAGCTGCAGGCAACAAGTGGCTCATCAAAATGGTCTGGATTCTTCACCATACCTTCTCACTACTAACGGTGCAGCTCATATATTCAACTCTGGTAAGCGAGTACATGATCTGCTCTATTTCATTTTCACTTCTACTCAGTTTTATTTTAGTGTAAAAGTTTATTTCTGACCTATATGATACAGTGGGTCAACAAAAAAAAAAAACTTAACTCAAGTTCCACATACATAAATAATAAAAAAAAAAAAAACAAGAAAAAAAAATTCTCCATGAAAACTGAGCAAACCCCAACTTATGGGGTGAAAATTCTCCAAAAGTGAGCTGCAGATGCTACAAACTATTAGTTTTTTCACAAACTTGCACACATGAACTTGAGCATGCCAGTGTTTAAAAGGTTCACACTGTGGGATCTGTGGAGTCTGTGCTGGCGACACTCTGACAATGTTGAGTATCATTTTACTTTTGTGCGCTGCATTGTCCCGATTGTGTTCGCTATCTGTTCTCATCTCTGGTTTTGGCAATCCCGGTATTGTTGCTTTGGGACTTCGATTCTGCTGCGGTTTACCCACGGGGCTCATTAAAGTTTCATCTTATCTCATCCCACTAGTATCAGACTTGTTCTCAAGGTAGAGTCAAAGGCAGGGGTTGATCCCCTTTAACAACTTGAAGAGAGATTATGTTGCACAGCTGTTGATTCAGTCTGCTTTTTTTCTGTTCTAGATGAAAAGTGGTGATGTACAAGAATCTCTAACTTTCACTAAATGACTGTCCTCCTCAGATTCCTGTGAGGGCCGAGGAGCAGACCAGAGAATGCAGAGAACAGGAGTACAGGGACCGCTTTGGGAACTGTAAACCCTGCAAGCAGTGTGATGCGGGACAGGAGCTATCAAAGGTTGGAGCAAAATAGTTTTGGACTTATTGTGTTTTTATTATCTTACATGAATTAAATGTAGTTTAAAAACAAGAGAAGGTCTGTCTGAAGTTCTGTGCTCATTCAGGAGCATTTCCCGTACAGCCACTAAAAGTAAAACATATGTAGCAGCACAAGGGATCCTTAACAGGTCTGTTGAATCGACTTCCTTAAACTGAAGAGAAGTGGAATGGATTATTCCTGCGGTAACAAACAAAAACTCTGAAACCGTTAGGTTCATGAAAAGAATGGATATCACTGTTTAGAAAAGTGTATCTCATCCAGGGAACCAACATTATTTATTACTTCCTCTCTTTCATGCAGAGAACAGCCAAGCCGTTATTAGCTTTTGTAAAACACCGACCCCTCTTTAATCAGTCACACCCATGCTTTTGACCTTCTGCAGCTGAATGGCTTCCATTGTTTTTCCCCATTGCACCCGGTCCAACTTATTGTCTTCACTGTTTGAAGCAAGCCATGCCTAAGCTTGCTGCTCTGTCGACTGGGAATACAGCTTTTTCCAGCACCTTAGCCACAGCTTTTTGTGTGCTTTGTACAAACAGGCCTCTATGGTGCTCGCTAAGACTTTCCTCTGGCAGGCAGTCGCCGTGCACCTCCTTTTGCAAGTGTAGGCATTGACGGACAGGTGAGCGAAGTGTAATAACTGAATGAGTTTGTGGCAGGCAAACATATTATTATTAAGAAACCCTTTTCACATTTTTGATTGATTTAACTGTAACTATGGTACACAACAAAAGCTGTTTAAAGGTTAAGGACCCAGCAGCCACATTGCCTCTGCAGTATCAAAAAAGGCGTGATTGATTGCACTTTTGAACACAAGTTAAATTATACTGGAGGTAAGTTAAACAGTAAGTTGAACAGTATAAACCAATTTGGCAGATTTCTTCTCCTTTTTTAAAGTTTAAAGGCACACACACACACAAAAGGAGGAATCACCAAAATGTAAAATGTCTGATTGGAACCTGGTGTTACTCCCACAGTGATTGACGGGTCTTTCAATACGTTTTAAGTAATGCACAGATCAACAACCACTATGACACCCCATTCATATCGACAGTGGTAGACTAAATATTTGAGACACACTTCAGTGTAATGCGATACAGTTCAACAGCCCACAAAACGACCATGAAGTTGAACCAAAACAGTTTAAAGAATGCTGAACATTATAACCTTCGTAAAGGTCCGATCTACAGCAGGGCTGTTGTATCAGACTAGCTGAGGGTACCTCATAAACTAGCAACTGAATGCACGTTAGGATATACCTGCTGTTTATATAGTTGAAAGATCTTGATGGGCCTAAGAAAACAAGAAAAGACTGGAAGCTAAATGGCTTTAGTAGTACATTTTGACAACCTAGTTTCAGTAACGCATACGTTTACATTAATAAAATGTCAGCTTTGAGTATTCCATAAATAAAAAGGCGGGTAACCTGACTTTACTCCTCTACATCTTTGAGTACTGGTGAAAAAAAAAACCTTGACATCTGTTGCACACATGCATTTAAGTCCAGTTGCCTTTAATCTCAGTGCACACAGACATGCACTCTGTGGTTGGTAATGCGCTTCAGTAGTCCTCGTGTTCCTCCTGCCAGCTCAACAGGCCTGAATGCTGCGAGCCACCCCGGGGTCCTGGTTAATAATTGGCTGCCTCATTCTTTCTCTGAAGGTAGCGGGATGCCGGCTCTCACAGTGGCGACCCCAGGCCTGCACTCAGAGAAAGTTTCCCAGAGATACAACTTCTGATCTGAGTGCTGCGTAACCAAGACAATCTGTCCGTATTCTGAAAGGCATGGCTGGACGTTGGGAGGGAAGCAGACTTTTGGAGTCACTCTGTGCAGCTGCCATAGAGATCCCAGAGGAATGTGCCCCAGTTTGCTCTGGAAGTTTGCCTCTGGAAGCCGCTCTTAGGCAAGCTGACAAACATCAATTAGCCCCTTCACACCAACTGTAGCGAAAAGAACCACCCACACAGAGGGAACGTCCATTAAAACCAGTTGTTCTTTTTTACAGACATATTTCATTCTAGGTTTCATTCATAGTAAGTTGCCTCGTCTCTTGTGTTGTCGAGGATGAAGAAGAAGGAGGGAATTGCCTTCCAGTACATGCTGGAAAACTGCCAGTGGCAAATGAAAAAAAAAGAGGCAGGAACACAACTTTGATGTGTCGACGTCTTGTAGTATGTAGCAAGAGTGTAACATTTCCTTCAGCCACGATCACAGGGCAAAGGGGTTACTGCTGGCTAACGAGAGAGACAATGGAGGGGTCAAAATCAGAGTTGCTGCTGCGCTATAGTGTCTAAAGAACCCAGGCAGTAAAAAGTGTAATAGAGAGAGGGAAACAAAAAGAGCAAGAGTGTGTTTTGTCCCAGACTGAACACAGCTTTAACTAGCATGCATTGTTTTCAGCGCTGTTTCATTACCAGATCAGATGACTGGCCGCCCCCCTTCTGATTCCCTCCTAATCTCAGAAATATCTCTCCGTCTGAACATGCTTCAGGTCCCAGCCAGCTCTCCTCTCTCTTATGCCGCTCCCCTCCCCTCCACGCTGCTGTTATGCTTGGCAGTCTCAGCCAAACTAGATCAGGAGATAGGAGGGAAATGGGATGTTAAGCATCTTCTTTTTTTTTGTTTTTGGGATGACTTTGACGTTAATATTTTTTTCTTCACAACATCCGTTGTAGTTTTCTTCCCAAATATGTAGTTTTATCCCATCCATTTGAATAAATATGTTTTTTTGGAGTTATGTATAGGAAAAAGCATATATATTGTGCTTTCATATAATAACATAAACATCGCCGATCACCACGGAGTATTGTCTTCCTCTCAGCTGCTGAACTAGGCTCAGTCAGTGCAGGATGTCGGCTCTGCACCGCTTTGTAAGCAGGGATGAAAGAACAAAGAGATCCCTCCTCGCTGATCTGTGCTGCCCGGATCAAAGAGGCAGAAGTTGGCTCTCGTTTGCTTTTGTTTCAGCGCTCTGACCTGCTCGTGTCTACGTGGCATCAGCCCCCATCCTGCCATGTGGTGCCCCACAGGCAGAGCTTGTGCCAGTGCTTGGGTTAGAGGAGACGAATCATCGCCGGGACCCTTCCTTCATGTGGAAGTGGGTCACAGGACTTCTGTGAGGTGCCCTGCAGTGGCCGGGCCTGCAGCCCTTTCTTAAGGACTAGTATTACGGTTGAGTGCCGTGGTAGTTTTCCAGCCTCCCCTGGCTCAGTCTGAGCTTCTTTCCCCTCAGACAGGCAACAGTGGGCGGCCGACTCTTCTTTATTCCGCCTTTCCCCTTTTTATCACTCATCAGCCACCCCCTTTCTGTTTCTCGCTCTTTCTGTCTCTTCCCCCCCCCCCCACACCTCCACTGTTCCCTGCTCTGCTGGAGAGCAAGGCCTTTTATGGAGAGCTCATAACAACAGCTGCAATAGTCCAGCCCTAGCTTGTCCACCTCGGGCCAGGCACTGGCCCAAAGGGTTCAATGTCAGGCCTCACATGTGTTTGGCTGGAAGGGCTGAAATCCTCATCTTCTGTCCCGACTCTGTGGTGCCATCGCACGATCGCATCTTTGCCTTTCCCTTTTTATTTCTTGCCAGCCTGCTTCCCCAAAACCCAACCCCCATATCAGACTCTCGTGCCCACATTCCAGCAGGACTGCATGCCCCGGTGGTGAAATGGGACACAGGCGATGAGAGAAGCCCTGTTTGGAGCTGGCCTTCACTTTAATGATATATGAGCCCCCCCCCCCCCCGTCTATCCTTCTGGCTTTGGATTGCAGTGTGGCCACGCTGGACAACAGGAGGGCAGCTGCTATGGAGCTGATAATGAATGATCAATGTATGATGTCATCCCTGCAGGGTCTTTTCACTCAGATATTACAGTACAGCAGTGGCGGGCCGTGCATTTTATACCTAGGCCTTCACTGCTGTCCTGCAGCTAAAATACCACATTATAACCACATGATGGCGTCACAGCTATTATTCGTTTTTAAGGCTGTAACTATATACGTATTCGTATTAAACCGTTCGGTACGAGGCTTACAATACCTTTGAATAATAGTAGAGGATTTGGAAAATGCAGAAGCTTAAATTCAGGAAAATATAATGTTTTCTGTGCTCATGTAGGACAGTGGTTCTCAGCTGGTCTGGCTATGGGACCCACCATCATTCCTTAATGACAAGCCGCGGCCCAGAGAGTTTGTCTTATGATTTTACTTTCACAACTAAAACATTAGACGTACTGCTCTGCAATGTCTTTCCTCTTCTCAGCACCCTGTGTCACGGTGTGTGGTACATCTCACTCGAGTCAGGAAACTTGTCAGAATGCCCATATTTGATTGGCTGAGCTGCATCACGTGATGTGATTCACAACGCCGACTAAGCCTCTGCTGTTAAGTTTCGTTTCACGATAGTCACGTGCTCGCCCACTGACCAATCACAGCACACGCTGTACCTCACTGCAGAGCTGCACATGGAAACTGAGCTGCACGTAATGCTGACGTAGCTATAGGCCGGCTAGCAGACACGTCAAAGAATACGCCCAACATGTCAAACTAAAGATCTGATTGGTTGAAGACTATGACAATCAACAATATCGTCCCCATTCACTTAAACTGCACATGGATGCATGTGTGAGTCTGCAGGCCTCTGCCTCTGTTCTTACCTAGAGACACAGAGGTGAAATCTGATTGGATAAAAGCTCTACTTAAAACAAGCTGCACTGGAAGCAGAGCACCTGAGGAAGACAGTAGCTGTGCAATGAGAAAATAAGATAATGGGAAAAATATGTTTATAAATTATAATACATGTAGTGTATTTAAGAAAAATATTAAATTATAAAATAGATATAGCTTCTGATTCTGTTTAGGCCAGCAGAGAAGGCCTTGCAGGCCCTGACGGCCCGCCACTGCAGTACAGTAATATCAGCTGTCATGTAAATGTCAGTTAGTCATTGAGGTCACCAGTCTTTCAACATAACTTTTAGGGGTGTGACAGAGAACCAATTAGGAAAGACATCGGCAATACATAATTACATTATTAATACATTTGGGGTTCATTTTAGTGTTGATATTTGGTTCCTTTCACCGTAAGTTATAAATGTGAAAAAGAGTTAATGCGACTGGGAAATACCGATAACTCATACAAACAAACACGATACATATGTTATATTCTATCCAGACTATATATTTTAGTCAAAGAAAACAATAAAAAGTTTTTTGTTTTTTTTAAACTATCTTTTATTTTTGCTCGTTTCAGGTGAACAAATCATCAAAAGAAGGTTCGGCATTAGATCAGTCACACGGTAGTAGGAAGCTGTGCTTTTTAAGTGCACTTTTCAATTGTTGACAAAAAGAGTATTCATCTCATTTTCTCCATATACCCCTCCATAATCCTTGCCCCCTCACTGAAGCCTTTCCTTCGCCTGCCAGCCTCTCAATCAACGGGACTCTCACGGAGTCTGCTCAGAGAGGGAGTCGCACAAAAAAACGCAGCAATAAACTTGCAATAATACAACAGTGGGTGTCCCCTGGGGCCTTTATCATTCAAATGCCTGGCCTTTCTGGGTCTTGCAGCGGAAGGCCGCTCATTCATGCTAAGAGAGTCAGGGAGATTATTGCCAGTGTAAGATGGACTCTCAAAAGAAGGCAGGCCATTGTTGTTGTTTGATCCCGCGGGCCAAGATCATTCTTTAATTCCAGACCCCCGGTAGTCCGCATTCAAGCCCTTCTTTTCACCAGCTGCACAGCTCTCCAAACCACCGACCCCACCTCTTAACCGGTGTATTCCTCCTGTTAATCCCCCCAGGAATGTGGCTTTGGTTATGGAGAGGATGCCCGGTGCGTGTCCTGCCGGAGCAGTCGTTTCAAGGAGGACCGGAGCCTGCAGAAGTGCAAGCCCTGCCTGGACTGTGGACTCATCAACCGCTTCCAGAAGGGCAACTGTTCCACCACCAGCAACGCCGTGTGTGGCGACTGTCTGCCGGGGTAAGAGGACAGACACATATCGCCACCGGACAGTTGTTTACAATAATAGTCGGATATGTAATACCTTTAATATGTAACAACACTATGAACTGAGTTTGTGCATGTTTGAACATTAAAACGTGTAATTTTGTGTCTTCAACAGATATTACAGGAAGACAAAATTAAGTGGTTTTCAGGACATGGAGTGTATACCCTGTGGGGACCCTCCGCCTCCTTATGAGCCTCACTGTAAGCACCTTTACGTTCTTTTACCTCTTCTAACAGTTGGCCTGACATCAGTGGGACATTCTGTTAAAATGTTCCCATGAATACAGGCTATTCATCCCAGCCCACAATAGGCCATGTTTTAAGATGAAACAAGCGGGGATACAATAGTCTAAGAGCAAACATCAGCGGCTACAGCACACTATTAAACTCATAGCCCAATGCTATCAGAACCAAAAGCCAGGTTGCAGTGCCACAACAAAGCCTGCGCACACACACGCACACAAAACATGCCAGCACAAGGCCTTTGGTGTAATCAGAACTACAGACTATAAAGGGTGGAGCAAGCCATAGTTCATTCACTAAGTCTCACGGAGTCAAGCAGCAATGCTGTATGTGCAAATAAATGCTTGGATTTACAAGCTGAGCAGTTGAAAAGCTGAAATGGATACCACTAACATAACACTGGATTATGATGGCTCAGAATGTCACTCGTTTTTGGCAATGAGTTTGGATGAAATGAGCCGACTTCCTCGAACAATACTTCTATTGATATTTCTAGACAAAACATGTCTCAATAGTATTAGTTTTAGCACCAGAGTAAACACCATAGGGAGTGTGCTGGTTCAAGCAGCACAACTGATTTCCTTTTAGTACAAACCCCCAGTATCGATAATATTAATATTAGTATCATACTATCCGTTATGCAAAAAGGAGAGAGGAAGTGTTTTATAGCATTTTTCACAAAGCAGGACTCACATTCCAGATGGCTACAAATCCAATTAGCGCCCGTCTTCCGGCCATTAGAAGTCGTTAAGCACAACCTTATGATTCCAGGTTTCCACATATAAAACCAACAGGCGAGTGAACTTGTACCTTTTGGTAGTTGAGTGTGACTTCCTGCTGCTGGAGGAGGCTGCAGCTGTTTCTGAGGAGACTTGTTTGGCAGCATGAGCATCAGAGCGGTCCCAGCCAGGGTTAGCCCCCCCCCCCCCCCCCCGCGTTAAATACATGGAGACAGCTCTGGGATATCAGACAACTAAAAATGTAAAGAATCCGATTCCATCCGACCATCCACTGTTAGTTTGATTTTTTTTGTGTGTACATTGTTGTGCGATGAACGCCGGCCTTGAGACAGCGGACCACCCTCTGTCTGCTCATTTGGTCCATCTGTGCAGCTTCCCGTTTTGATACTAGAGGAGGCCTGCGAAACAAAATGGCCATTGTATCTGAGAACATAGCTGGTAGTTACTCGGTCCTGCAGGGACTCTCCCCGTGGATCATTTCCAAATGCTTGAGAGTCCTGCTCCCTCCCTCCAGTGTTATCTTGAGGAGGGTGGTGAAAACTTGAAGGGCAGAACATTCTAATAGGCCACACTGGCCCGGGGCTACGGTGCATCTGTGCAGGGGAGGCAGTCGCCGTCTGTGGAGGACTGTCAATTTTACAACCCCCCCCCTTTCCTCTCCTCCCTTTCCCCCAGTGGCTTTTTGGAACCGAGGGGAAAAGGAGATTGTGTTTTATGGATTCCTTCAGCCTCTTTAATGTGTTTCATCTGCTAGGAGTTCTACAGTGTCACGGTAGATCTAGGAGAGCTGACTGGACCATGCTGTCACACACACACACAGGCGTGCAGACAGATGTCGCTTGTGCTGACGAACCCACAGAAATAATATCACCTGACTCAGCAGTTTCACTAGGCTTTGCAGAAGATTTTATTGTCTTTTGGCACGTTGTTTCGGTTTCACGGCCCGCAGTTTAAATGTTTTGGTTCACCTTCTCTGATAAATTGTCCTTATTACTATTTCCAACTGGATCTACCACAAGGTAGACGGCCAGTTCATCCTTCAAAGAGAAACAGTGGTGTGAGTTTAAAGTGCAGCCACAAAACATCAGTTATATTTCATCCAGGATTTCCCTTCTTTTCAAGACATTCAGTTATTTGCTGCTTATCCTTTTTTTGCATGCAACTAAAAGAGATCGTGACCATAATCCAGTAAACCTCTGTCCTAGTTACTTGAAGAAAACATAATCTGTCTTCACTCGTGCAGCGAGCTCACTGACTTCAAAGGTTCATGCAACCAGTTCTCACCACAGACGGCAAGAAAACACATCAGGCTGGCGGGGCACAGCAAACATTCCTAACTACGATTGCCTGCCAGCGATTCAAACTACAGCCTTTCAATTTGTCTCATACTCAGATGTCAGCAGCTGGAATGACGATCTGATCGCGGATCAGTTTATCCTCACTGCTGTTCCTAATGGAATTATCATGCAAATACCAAACCACAACCTCACAGCAATGATGGTGTGTTTATATGATGATCATAAAATGTTTTATCACAAACGCAACACCTTGGGAGTCATGACATTATAAATCATTTCTAGCGGACGTATCCAGATTCTCTATTAAATTATGATTTAATACGTTGTCTGCTGTACCTCGTTTAATAATACTGCCAAAAAATGCACTAAACATTCAGAGAGAGCTTCTGTTTAGAATATATTTGCAACTAGAGTAAAGTTCTTGGCATAAATTCAAGTTTGAACCTTTTTAAATGTCTTTGCATTAAACAGAATAAGAATCAAATGTTTATTTTCTCCTTTCTGGTATTCAGAGTTCTGCGTACAGAACGGATCAGTTCTCCTAAAGAACCTCCTTAAAAAGAGTTTGTACTGAAGTCAAAGATCCCTCTGAGGTGTAGAGAGGTGCTCCTTTTTATTTGGAGTATGCGGCGTCCCATTAAGTGAACAGGCAGGGAGTGTATGACAGGCTGCGGTTTATTGGTCTGGTTTGTGAGGAGATAATATCAGCAGGTGAGGCCTCTTCAATGGACCAGTGTTTATCTGTGTGTGCTGCAGCTGCTCTGATAACGGGCTGCTTTGTGTTGATGCTCACCTTGACAGTGAAGACCAAATGCAAACACAATGGTTAGAATGTATTTACAGATTAGCAATACAGTGCAGTGCCTTTGTTTATGACCATTATTATGGTAATCCCTGCCATGACAATTCATTATGAGTCTCAGACGTGAAGATGAAATATGGTGTTACACTGTGTCCTTGTGAGGTATTTAACATTGTTTGTGGTAATACATTTATTTTTTACATACAGCGTAATATTTTTAAATGTGAGAAGGTGCCTCTGTGTCTAAATACAAATGCTCTTATGTAAACTGTAAATGATTGAGAGCAGTTGCAGTGATTTTAGGATCTGTAGTAGTTGCCGATATGTTTAAATGACAAGTTCTAAGTCATGTTTTTTGACATTATGTGCTTTGTGCTTATTTAAAAATGCCCTTTTATTTTGCTCTCTGGGTCAAACTAAGCTACTAAGTGCTGCTTTGAGGGTTTTTTTTCTTCCCTTAGAAGGAATGTTAAAATACCCGTATCCCCTATCTGGCTGAATAAAACAACTGCCCAAAGCTGAAGTCGTGTTTACAGGACTTACAGGGCGTAACAAAGAGCTCTTGGATGTGAAAAGGTGGAAACCAGTTCCCTTTATGATTAATGTGCTGAAAAGCAAACAGCAGGGCTCACTGAAAAAAGATTTTCTCAAACAAAAAGCCATTCATTATATTTGCCATATTCATCAACAATCTCTCACAACTTCTTTTCTTGCCCCACACATTGTTAACTGCTCTGTCTGCTTCACAGTGTCAGACCAGCATACCTTTAATGTTTCCTCTGCCATCATACAGACAGTGATCAGGTATTATTTGATTTGCTGGTAATAATCACAGACAGTTATGTTCAGCTACATGAGCTCAGAGAGAAATGTCACTCAACTAGAGACTTCAGGTGTGCTGCTGTTTCTTCTCCTCTCTTTACGTCTGACTTAGTGCTCGAAAGGATAATTACACGAAGCAGATGACAATTTTTTTTTAAACAAGAGTGCCAGTTCATCTGTCTTACGTTGATATTAAACCCCAATGTTCTGTGTTTGTGGTAACGTGTGTGATGAGCAGCGTTCTTGAAGCCGAAAGTCTCTACATGAGTGTGTAAAGGGTCCTGAAGGCGGAGCCAACCGGGATATCACGTTTCCCCCTCGGGGCAGGATGAGAACTCAGTCATGAAATCAGTGCATGTGCGACAGAAGTGTAAAAACAAACCCGCTTACACACTAATATCTGAACCATTGCAGGAGCCTGACTAGGATGTCTGCCTCTTGACTTCAGGGCTGTGTGACTGGCATGTGAGGGAGAGCCTGGGGGTGTGGGGGGGGGGGGGGGGGGGGGGGGTCTGTAAATCATCTTCTGTGGGGAAGCGAGACAGAGGCAGATAAAGGGCGAACCCACCACAGGCGTTTTCTCTTTGAACTCCTCTGCGTATTTCATTAGGCTTAAGCAAAGGGGCGACTGGCTCGAGGCGCAAGGGAAATAATTAGTCTCACGTTACCCGATTCTGATTGGCTGAGGAGCGTCGGATAACGTGAAGTAGCGGCTCCTCGTCATGTGTTATCCAATAACTGCTATTTTGAGAGATAGGGTGTTTGTGTGTTTGCTCAGAAACACTCATCACCTTGAAATAAGGTGCATATATACGCTGCCATGTGGTCAATCAAAGACTGAATGGACATTTTACACCCTGCGGTTCAGCCGTATTTCACCTTCATCTCCCTCCGTCTTCCTCACAGGCAGCGGGCGTGTGAACCTGGTGCCGCTGCCCTCGGTGGTGACCAGCCCGCGGGACATGGCCCTGGCCGCGGTCATCTGCAGCGCTCTGGCCACCGTGCTGCTGGCCCTGCTGGTCCTGTGTGTTATCTACTGCAAGAGACAGCTGCTGGAGAAGAAGCCCAGTGGTGAGTCACTTCTGCACGTGTGCATGGCTGAAAAAGAGTTTTCAGAATCAGGGCCGTGTGTTTAATAGATGCCAAGAAGAGCAGGAGCTTGAGGGGATTCTTCAAAACAATTTACTAATGATTGGTGCTTTAAAAAAAAGAAGGTATGCAGTGCAATGCACAGGCCTTAAGGTGGATTCACATTCAAGAGCTAAATATGTGCATGTTAAAATATGAGTGCCACTTAAAGAGCCCTTAATAAGGTAAATGATGAGGAGTATTTATAGCTGGATGAGCGTGATTTCATCGCTCTTTTGTCAACAACACAAACAGAGTGCCAGTTCGTCTGTCAGATTTGATCACCAGTGTTAAGCCCTATTAAACCCTGATGTTGCATATTTGTAGTAACTTGTATAATGAGCAGCATTTCGGAGGCCAAAAGTGTTTTGAGTATGTGAAACGTCCCAGGGCAAAGAGTTAATGACATCACGTTTCCCCCGAAAGCTCGCCTGAAGGTAGAAGTTACTAAGGCGTTACCAGCTCTCTGTGTTTTTCTCACCGTGACGGTGTAAGGTGAATGCACAAGTTAAATGTTTTTCACTCAGTCCAAATATTCACCCCACCCTTTACCCAAGCTGCTTCCAAACGCTGACACTGTTGCTTTTTAAATGATACGAAAGAATTTTTATCGGCCTCGTGGACCCGAGGGTAGTGAGGCATTTCCCAACACACGAGAGAGAATGTATGTTTAGTCAGATAAACAGCACGAATGAAGCTGGGAGGATTTCACCTGACAGCAGCAATTACAAAAACACAAAAATCCAGTTATTACTAATAAGAATGAAGCATTTCTTCTGTAAAAGTAAAAGGGTACCAACTTCTATTAAGGCATGTTTTTATCAAGGGTTACATTTATGTGTCGTGGGTTGTGAAAAACCTCTTTGACTGTCCCTTCTGCTTGGTAATAAAGCAGTTATAAATGCTCGACAGCATTACAAAATACTTAAAAGGTTCTTCGGTCTGTCCAGTAAACCTGGCAACCCAAAAGTTATTCTTTTCCATGGCTTGTAACTGTTCTATTAAGCATCAGTAAACAATTTAATAACTATTAATAAAGCATTTATAAAGCTTTCATGCAGGATACAATATTATATTTCAAGTGGTATTAGTAGAAGTGCTGTGCTGAGACGTGGCTTGTTGTTTCCTCAGCTGCCTCTCTGAGGTCCCAGGATTGTCCCTACGGTGGTGCAGAGCTGTCCTGCCTGGACCCCCGCTGGCTCCAAGACCTTCCCCAGAGACCCTGCTGCCAGTGTCACCTGGGCCCCGGACAAACCTGTGGTAGGTTGTGGTTCCGACCGAAGACATTTTATGCAACAGCCGAAGCCGATCAAACAACTGATGAGTGTAAGGAAAGCATTGTATTCTAACTCCAGTGGTAAACTGTGTAGTGGGCCTCATCGTGCCTTTAGGAGGTGATGGCAGGTGGGTTTTTGTAAAGTTGTACATGTGTGTGTGTGTGTGTGTGTGTCCAGGTCCAGTCCACCTGATCCCGTCTCTGTGCTGTGATGAGAGCTGCAGTCTGGGCCGCAGCCTGGACAACAGTCCCTTCCAGTCCCAGATGAGCCTCAGCGACGGGTGAGGAATATGTGTATGCTCATTAACGCCTATATCTAAACTGCCTGGAAACACACGACTGCCAAAAATGTTCAGCCCGGAGGGAAATGACAACAAAACCCTGCAATGTTTGCATCACGCTGGGCTGACTGACCTTTACAGCCGGCTAGTAGGCAAACTCAACATTAACAACCCAACAAACACAATCACGTACACAACTGGATGCCTTTGCAAGGTAAATATAGTCACGGAGATGATTATTGTAGCTTAGCTGGTCCCAGCTGTGTAGAATATTATACTGTACCATAAATCACGTAAAGTAAGGAGCATAATCGTGTTCACACGCTGAGAGTAAAAGGAAGATCAGCTAACGCCTACACTCATGCTGGTAACAGCGTTCTCATTTCTCTTGCTATTCAAGGTGCTACAGACATCATTTAATGGGGTTAATTAGATTCTTTGAAGTGTTGTGAACACACCGAGGGCACTGTGCATAAAAGTGAAGCCACACTGGGTGTGGCTGTGAACAGTGATTTATGGTGATAACCACAGCTTTCTTTTATTATGCTCCCCAGAAATACACATCGGGATGGGGAGAGCATCCCGATGCAGCTGGGAGGACGTCCTGAGTCCCACTGCAAAGAGGCTGGTGGGATGAGAGGGAGTTTGGAGCCTGCAGAGTGTTCTGGGTGGCCTCAGTGCACCGCTGAACCTGCAGGGAGACTGGAGGTGGAAGAAGAGGATGGCGATGAAGAGGAGGGGTGCAAGCCAAGGGAGAATTCACCTGAGATGACCAGAAAGAGCTACAGTGAAGCTGTGACAGATGCATCAAGTCAGGAAGGTGAGGTGTCATATTACTCTCATGCAAAACACCGGAAACGTAAGATTAGATATTAATGAAGCGTGACTTCCTTTTACCAAATGGCACACACATTTCTACTGAGTTTGCTCATAACTCGCCTGGATATGAATCAGCTTTCCTCATGAATGTGTGTGTTAAGACACTCCCATGGCACTTCAAATTAGCTGCCTCAAAGCGAACTGATGAATGATCTTCGTATTATTTATTATTTAGTGTCAAGCAAAGGTATGTGAGAGCGAACTGCAAAGAAGAAAAGGCGCCCTCTCCCACTCAACAAAAGACTATTTATGAAATATTTAAAGTGATCTTTACGTTATACCATGACATTTTTTTACATACTGTGGCTTTAAGAACAGCTGGTCAAAGAAACAAGAGACACCACAACTTCTTTGATGTAGACTATCCTGCTTCTAGTCGGCCCCTGGTAGGCTCTAGATAGATTTGTTGCTAATCACTGTGTGTCTGTGATCCTCTCCCTGCTCTCTTTCCAGGATGACATGGATTTCTTTGGCTCGTGTTCCACCCTGGACTCAACAGCCGCGGCCAGATCCCGGATGAGATTACTCTCTAGTCCCCCCCCATACATATGAGCAGCAGCCACTCTCGCACCACCTCTTTGAAATGCCGCTGACCTCAGCGTCCCTTGTCAAGGGGTCCAAATAAAATATGTGCATAGTTACAAACAAAAGCACTGCTGAGGAAAATCAAAGCATGAGGGCAAAGGGGATAGAGATACACACACATGGACACCCACACTGAATGTGAACTCACTGGCCCAGAGGGTGAAATCGAATGAAGTTCAAACGTCGAGGAGTATCGACTTCTTACCGTCAATCACAGTGAATCAAAGTGAGCCTCTGCTCTGCCTTGAGAATGTCTTTCATATTTACATGTAGGAGAACATAAACTGTACCACTGACCGAGCAGGTGGTGTTATGAAGCTTTTGTGTGTAAAGGTAACAAATTTGAGGTGTGAAGAAAAATGTCAAATGGTATTATGTTGCACATCGAAGACAATCTTGATATGGAGCAAGTTAAAACAAGGAATGTCAAAGTGATAGATTTGTTGTAGATACTGTAAAATATTAAATAGGTCAATATTTTTGTAACAGACATGACTGACAATATGTTTGCTTTACTTCCCACAGTTATAGTGGTTGTGATTGGTCAGTTCCAAATATTGTTTTTGTAAATAAACCACTTGAACAAGTTTACAGACCCAGGAATTTATTTTCTCAGTTCTTTAATAAGTCTTTAAATCAAGCAATTTAGTATTGCAATTCCATAGGGTTGGGGGATTTATGTAAGACACAGTATAGTAAAGTCACAGTATAGTATTTACAAAAAGTCAGTATAGCATGTCGAAAAATTAATAGAATAGTATGTTGAAAAAGTCATCGTATAGCATGTTGTTTAAAAGTCACAGTATAGCATGTCGAAAAAAGTCACAGAATAGCATGTCGTAAAAAGTCATAGTATTTAGTAAAAAGTCAGATAATAGCATTTCATTATAAAAGTCATAGTATAGCATGTCGTAAAAAGTCACAGTATAGCATGTCGAAAAAGGTCACAGTATAGCATGTCGAAAAAGGTCACAGTATAGCATGTCGAAAAAAGTCATAGTATTTCGTAAAGTCAGATAATAGCATTTCATAATAAAAGTCATAGTATAGCATGTCGAAAAAAGTCACAGTATAGCATGTCGAAAAAAGTCATAGTATTTCGTAAAGTCAGATAATAGCATTTCATTATAAAAGTCATAGTGTAGCGTGTCGAAAAAGGTCACAGTATAGCATGTCGAAAAAAGTCACAGTATAGCATGTCGAAAAAAGTCATAGTATTTCATAAAGTCAGATAATAGCATTTCATGATAAAAGTCATAGTATAGCATGTCGAAAAAGGTCATAGTATAGCATGTCGAAAAAAGTCATAGTATTTCGTAAAAAGTCATAGTATAGCATGTYGAAAAAAGTCTATTTCGTAAAAAGTCAGATAATAGCATTTCATAATAAAAGTCATAGTATAGCATGTCGAAAAAAGTCAGTATAGCATGTCGAAAAAGGTCACAGTATAGCATGTCGAAAACAGTCAGTATTTCGTAAAAAGTCAGATAATAGCATTTCATAATAAAAGTCACAGTATAGCATGTCGAAAAAAGTCATAGTATTTCGTACAGTCAGATAATAGCATTTCATAATAAAAGTCATAGTATAGCATGTCGAAAAAAGTCATAGTATAGTACATCGAAAAAAACAGAAATTATAATACGATAGTATATGTCCAAAAAAAGTCACAGCACTCTCGAAAAAAGTCATGGTTTAATCATGGTCTTGAAAAAGTCAGTCATAAAAACGTCCAAGTATATAATCACAAAAAATAGTCATAGCATGTCAAAAAAGGTCAAGGTAAAAAAGTAATTAAAAAGTCATCGTATAGAATGAGAAAAAAGTTAATAAAAAAAAAATCATAGTTTGTCAAAAACAGTAAAAGTATACCAGTTGATAAAAACAATGAAAAAATCCTATTATATTAAAAAATGTCATTTTCAGAAATTTCCATGGAATACTATACCATCACTTTTTTATGGAATACTTTACTATGATTTCTTTAAAGTGATCTTCACTTCATACCATACCATGACATTTTTACATACTGTGGCTTTAAGAGCAGCTGGTCAAAGAAACAAGAGACACCACAACTTCTTTGATGTAGACAAGACTATCCTACTTTCAGCTGGCCCCTGGTAGGCTCCAGATAGATTTGTTACTAATCACTCTGTGGCTCGTGTTCCACCCTTCAACCACCCTGGACTCAACAAGAGCTGTTGACGGATCCCCTATCAGACTGCTTACTTGTCCTTGTCGTATTTTCTCAATTCTTGAATGAAATCATAAAATCAAGCGATTCAGCGATGCACTTCCAGAGTTGAGGGATTCATGTAATACAGATTTAAACAATACGTTTCACAATTAACTCTGTGGCTGATGTATCGTGACCTTTTTATCTGCAGTTTGGTTTAAGCTCCAAAAACACTGAATCTGTCCCGAACCCCAAACTGACATAATCCTGATGACATCATTGGAGTGTTTTTTCCTGGAAATTCAAAAAAGTGGTGCTCTTGAGGTCAGAGAGAGAGAAATTCAGCAAACACTCATCCTCCTCTTCCTCTTCCTCTTCCTCCTCCTCCTCCTCCTCCTCCTCCTCCTCCTCCTCCTCCTCCTC